AATTACTGGTTGATTGTCGTTTATATCTCCTACATCCACAATAATTTTACAAGAATCTGTTAGTCCTCCATTATCTCTCGCGCGGACACTAATCTGAAAATGTCTTTTCTTTTCATAATCGAGGTTTCCAATGAGCCGAATCTCGCCGTTGTCTTCGTTCACTTCAAAAACATGCCTGACGTCTTCCAAAGAATTTGTGATTGAATAATTTATTTTACCGTTTAAACCCTGATCAGCGTCCGAAGCACTAACTGTAGTCACAACGGTTCCCTTTGTAGTATTTTCGGCCACTGTACATTTGTACACCTTCTGTGTAAAAATAGGCGCATTGTCATTGGCATCTAACACAGTGATGAAAATCTGCATTTGTCCCGACATCTGCGGCGCTCCTCCATCTACAGCCGTTAACACCAGAGACAGCAGCTCGTTTTTTTCCCTGTCCAGCGGTGTCTGTAAAACCATTTCAACATTCTTCGTACCATCCGCTTGGTTGTGCATCTTAAGTGCGAAATTATCACTGGGTTTAAGCGTATAACTCTGAAGTCCATTTGTCCCCGCATCCAAATCTACTGCTCTTTCTAAATCGAATTTAGCTCCTACTGCTGCGGATTCGCTGATGAGGAATTTTATTTCGTTCTTTTCAAACGTCGGCGCATTATCATTTATGTCTTTAATTTCTACCGTGACGCTGTAGAATTCCATGGGGTTCTCCAAAACAATCTGAAAATGCATAGCACACGGTGTCGTATGGCCACACAAAGCCTCTCTGTCTAGTCTGTCTTTGATGAGGAGGACTCCTCTGTCCTTGTTCAGCTCAATGTTCTCTTGACTATCGCCAGAATAAATATGAGCGTTGCCCAGCTTCAGTCGTTTTATGTCTAATCCCAAGTCCTGAGCTAAATTACCGACTAAAGAGCCCTTTGCCATCTCTTCTGGTATAGAGTATGTGACCTGAGTGAAAGCTGACCGAAGGCAAAGGATCGAAATAACAAACAGTACTTGCCGTCCCATTGTTTGAAATTAGGCTGACGAAAAGAAACAGCAGCCTTGTTAGATCCGTTGGTATGACTGACCAAGAATGGAAATAAGAACGACAGTCGACAGAAAATAAAAATAAAAATGAAATGAGTCCTGAATCGTATTTCGGTCGCAGTAAAGCGGAGACAATGCGTTAGGTGGGTGTTCTTTCACGCGAGTGCTTCAGAGAGGAAGAGGCGGAACTGCTGCAAATGCATTCAGCTTCAACAAGCAGGCAACAGCGACCCATAGAGTTCACAAAGTAAAACTACACATGTAAAACTAAAAGTGTAGATCATAAAATTCCCACTCTACACAGATGGAGGATAATTAAACATTCAAATAGTTCGTATATACACAACCAAATCACAAGCTCCAAAAATCCAACTTCCACAGTCTTCAATATGGAACGGCACTGACGTATATCTGTGGTTGCTCTCCAAGGTGCTGAAAACGGTTACTATTCTTCTAACTATACAAATGTGTTTTGTTTAGTGAATTTGTGAAAATATAAAGTCGGTTCAAAATTATGGACGATATACATGACAGACACCCTGCTTCGCATAGAAGAACAGCATATACGATGAGGAACATTTAAATAACATAGTAGAACAGCATATACGATGAGGAACATTTTATTGTTCACATTTTCAATCCCTGGTTTAAATATTTAACTATGTTATTTTTATAACAATATTGATTTTCTTTAAAGACCAACCTCAAGAGGAGAGTCTGGTTCATCCAGGATACTCTTTTCACTTTGGATCCGCTGCATCGTCCCGGTAGAACTTGGGTCCATTATTAGCATGTTTTCATTGCTAATTCTTCCGAATTTATAGTCACTCCTTCTAGAGTCAGTCGTTTTGCACACCTCGTAATTGTAAACGTGGGGTAGAGTCCCTGTTACCATTGTATCAGAATAACGTGGCGGATAATATGGAATCACAGGCAGACCGGAGTGATAGAGGATTCGAGACTGTCTCCATCTGTAGATCTTCACTGAGATAATAACAACTAAACACGTGATGAAGAGGAAGGAAACTACAGCCAGAGCCAACACTAAGTAAAAAGTCAGGTTGTCATTGTACTCCTTGTCGTGTTTAAAGTCAGTGAACTCAGACAGTACTTCAGAGAAACTGTCAGCCACCGCCACGTTAACAATGACTGTAGCTGAACGAGAGGGCTGTCCGTTGTCCTCCACTATAACAGTCAGTTTTTGATTGACAGGATCTTTATCAGTCACTTGGCGGATAGTTCTGATTTCTCCATTCTGTAAGCCAACTTCAAACAGAGCCCTGTCTGGGACTTTCTGGAGTTTATAGGAGAGCCAGGCATTCTGTCCAGAGTCCACATCAACAGCCACCACTTTAGAGACCAGATAGCCCACATCTGCTGAACGAGGCACCATTTCACCCACCACAGAGCCACCAGTCTGGACTGGGTACAGAACCTGAGGAGGGTTATCGTTCTGGTCCTGGATCAGTATCTTCACGGTCACATTACTACTGAGTGGAGGAGAGCCTCCATCCTGAGCTTTGACTGCAAAAACCACCTCTTTAATCTGCTCATAATCAAACGAACGGACTGCATGTACAACTCCACTTTCTGCATTTACAGAAACATAATGAGAAACTAGTGACGCACCTATTTCTATATCTTCCAAGATATATGAGATTTTAGCATTTTGGTTTTCGTCTGGATCTTTAGCAACGAGCCTCAAAACTGAAACACCTGGGGAGTTATTCTCCGGAATAAAGGCACTGAACAGGGTTTGTAAAAACACGGGAGCGTTGTCGTTTACATCAGACAATTTTAAAGAAAATGATCTTTTGGATGAGAGAGGAGGGACTCCTGCATCTGTAGCTTCTATGGTAATGTTATATTCTGAGACCTGTTCAAATGCTATACAAACTGTTAGACGTAGAAGTAATCGTAAATGGTACGTTTCTATTGATTGCACACCGAACTTTCCCATTTTCTTCAGAATCAGGATCATTTACGCTCATCACAGCCAGCACCGTGTTAGCGGGGGAGTCTTCTCCTATCGAATTTGATGAGGAAATTACATTTATCACAGGGTTATTGTCATTGACATCAATTACATCAATGAGGACTTTGCACGAATCAGACAAACCTCCTCTATCAACCGCTTCTACATCAATTGCGTAATTTCTGGCTTTTTCAAAATCAATAGGGCCATTCAGTATAAGATGACCGTCCTCAGTAATATGGAATAGATTCCCATTTTCTATCATGCTATTACCAATTATGTAAGAAACTTCAGCATTTGAGTCTCTGTCCGCATCAGTAGCACTCACCTTAGTAATTACTGTTCCCTTCGGTGAGTTTTCATTAATACTTGCTTTGTACACGGTTTGGGTAAATACAGGAGCGTTGTCATTAGCGTCTAACACAGTGATGTGTATCTGCATTGTCCCAGACCTTTGAGGCTCTCCTCCATCTACAGCAGTCAACAGTAAAGACGCTACCTCCTGCTTTTCACGATCCAAAGGTTTTTGTAAAACCATTTCTACTTTATGTACACCATCCACCTGACTATGGAGTTTAATTATAAAATTGTCATTCGGCCTCAGACTGTAGCTTTGAAGATTATTTCTACCTATATCCAGGTCTACGGCTTTTTCCAGTATAAATTTAGACCCGACAACTGCTGACTCGCTGATTTCAATGTTTTTCTCACCCTTCTGAAAAACGGGAGCATTGTCATTGATATCCGTGATTTCGACAGTTACTGGAAATATTTCTATCGGGCTTTCTAGTGCAATCTGAAAATGCAGCGCACAAGGCGTTGTCTGCCCACAGAGAGCTTCACGGTCAATTCGCTCTTTGATAACAAGGAGTCCCTTTTCTTTGTTCAGCTGAATATACTCCGCATTTTCTCCCGTGTGAATGCGAGCCCTTCGTGTCTGCAGCTTCTTAATATCCACACCTAAATCCTGGGCGATGTTAGCGACCAAGGATCCTTTGGCCATTTCTTCGTGGATTGAATAGCTGACTTGTCCGAGCACTGAACTGAGACAGGCGAAAAAGACAAACAACGGTACTTGCCCTCTCATTGTTCTTTCAGTCACCTCCGTCGAGTATAAATAATGTGTAATCCTCTCTCTCTCCGTATCAAAGAAATCAATGTAGGTAAAAAAAATGTAAAAGGTCCGTTCTAACTAAAGACTTTTAAAACCGCTCCAGTCTGATGTTCCACTGATTGTGTGCAATCCTTCGTCGACAGCGCGATTATATTTTCACAGTCATATTCGCTCGTGAAAGGGTCTGGTTCGTCCTTCTTTAAATGCATGATTTCAACAACTAGATGATGGTCAACAGCGGCGCACTGAGTTCATACCGCGAAACTACAAGAGTTAACCAAAATCTACCATGGCATGCATTTTTGAGCATTTAACCAAAACGAACTATGGCACTCAAACAGCTAATATTGTATATAAATGAAAGGAGACAAACCTAAACATATACATATCGTCTTTTCAAACGTCTTTTGTGTTAGAAACAATTAAAGTATATGTAGTAGTATAAAATAAAATAAAATAAATAAAGGAGGATGTAAATAGAGAGGAAGAAAGGGGAGAAAGAAAACATTTCGCTGTCCGAGGTACTGATGAGGGATGAAGACACACAAAACAACAGCTTCATACAAATCTAACCTCTAGAGGAGAGTCTAGTTCATCCAAGATGCTCTTTTCACTCTGTATCCTCTGCATCGTCACTGAAGAACGGGGGTCCATTATCAACATGTTTTCACTACCAGCTGTGCCGAACTTACAGTCACTCTTTCTTGAGTCGGTTGTTCTGCACACCTCGTAGTTGTACACGTGGGGGAGAGTCCCTGTCCCCATTGTATCAGAGTAACGTGGTGGATAATATGGAATCACAGGCAGACCGGAGTGATACAGGATTCGAGACTGTCTCCATCTGTAGATCTTCACTGAGATAATAACAACTAAACAGGTGATGAAGAGGAAGGAAACTACAGCCAGAGCCAACACTAAGTAAAAAGTCAGGTTGTCATTGTACTCCTTGTCGTGTTTAAAGTCAGGGACCTCAGACAGTACTTCAGAGAAACTGTCAGCCACCGCCACGTTAACAATGACTGTAGCTGAACGAGAGGGCTGTCCGTTGTCCTCCACTATAACAGTCAGTTTTTGATTGACAGGATCTTTATCAGTCACTTGGCGGATAGTTCTGATTTCTCCATTCTGTAAGCCAACTTCAAACAGAGCCCTGTCTGGGACTTTCTGGAGTTTATAGGAGAGCCAGGCATTCTGTCCAGAGTCCACATCAACAGCCACCACTTTAGAGACCAGATAGCCCACATCTGCTGAACGAGGCACCATTTCACCCACCACAGAGCCACCAGTCTGGACTGGGTACAGAACCTGAGGAGGGTTATCGTTCTGGTCCTGGATCAGTATCTTCACGGTCACATTACTACTGAGTGGAGGAGAGCCTCCATCCTGAGCTTTGACACGAAACTGAAAATCTTTGATTTGTTCATAGTCAAAAGAACGCACTGCATGTATGACTCCACTATCAGCACTGACAGACACATAGGAGGAGACTGGTACTCCGTTAACAGAGGAGTCCTCCAGGATGTAAGACACACGAGCATTCTGGTTCCAGTCTGCGTCTCTGGCTTTAACTGTGAATACAGACAGACCTGGTGTGTTGTTTTCTACTATGTAGGCCTCATATGAGCTCCTCTCAAAGACAGGTGCGTTGTCATTAACATCAGAAATCTGTAAGGTGAGAGTGACGCTGCTGGAGAGAGAGGGCACTCCCTCATCAGAGCAGCTCACTGTTATATTGTACTGGGATTCAGACTCTCTGTCCAAAGCTCCCTCTGTAACTAAACTGTAAAACCTATTCCTTGTGTTTTGTATTTTGAAAGGAATGTCATCATTAATAACACACTTCACCTCTCCATTTCTTTCAGAGTCAGGGTCATTTACGCTGAGCATTGCAATTACCGTGTTTTCAATAGAGTCTTCTAAAATTCTATCGGAATGAGAAAGTATTTCTAATTGAGGGCTGTTGTCATTGACGTCGCTGATATCAACAAGAATTTTACTGGAATCAGAGAGTCCGCCCATATCTATAGCTTGAATGTCTATTTGATAGAGCTTTGATTTTTCATAATCAATTTCACCATTGAGGGTAACTTCTCCAGATTGTCTATCAATCTGAAAGACATCAGACAAGCGATGTTTGCTGTTTGAAATCATGTATATAATTTCCCCGTTAGAGCCTCCATCTTTGTCTGATGCACTGACAGTAATAACACTGGTTCCTTTTGGTGAATTCTCTGTGATCGTGGCCTTGTACACTGATTTAGTGAATACCGGTGCGTTGTCATTTGCGTCTAACACATTAACAATGATCTGCATTGTGCCTGACATACGTGGCTGGCCACCATCTAAGGCAGTTAGTAACAGAGATAACTGAGCCTGATGCTCTCGATCCAGTGGCTTCTGTAAAACCATTTCTACCGTTTTGCTGCCGTCGACTTGATTCTCTATTTTTAGTGCAAAGTTTTCTGTTGGTTTTAATGAATAACTCTGTAGACCATTTTCACCTATGTCTGTGTCCACGGCCGTCTCGAGCACAAATTTCTGATGGTTTCCGTGAATAACTCTGTAGACCATTTTCACCTATGTCTGTGTCCACGGCCGTCTCGAGCACAAATTTCTGATGGTTTCCGTGAATAACTCTGTAGACCATTTTCACCTATGTCTGTGTCCACGGCCGTCTCAAGCACAAATTTAGACCCGACAACAGCGGACTCACTGATTTCAAAATGTTGCTCTATCGATGCGAAGCTGGGAGCGTTGTCATTTATATCTGTGATGTCTATTGTTATACTAAATAATTCCATAGGATTTTCCAGAATCATCTGCAAATGCAACGCGCAGGGCGTTGTTTCCCCACAAAGCATCTCTCTGTCTATTCGCTCTCTGATGAAGAGGGCTCCTCTCTCTCTGTTCATCTCGACATATTCTGCACCACCTCCTGAGTGAATACGAGATTTTCCTGACTTAAGCCTCTTCAAATCTATGCCTAGATCCTGAGCGACATTACCAACTAAAGAACCTTTCTCCATTTCCTCTGGAATCGCGTAGCTGACCTGACCAAACACCGTGTCGAGACACAGGACCAACAGGAACAATAGTACTTGCCGTCCCATGATTTTGATGCTGTTTCCTTTTATTCGTACGAAAATGTAATCCACAGAAATATCCATTACATGAACGAAATATATCCAAGAAACGGAAGACAAAAACACAAGCTGTTCATGTCCATGAGCGTGTTGATGATAACCGAATGCAGAGGGTTGAGTTTTATTTTATTGTCTCTCACAGTCTGGGGGAGGTACCGTTTCGAATACGATCAAAGACTGCCACACTCTGGCCAACAGCGGCCCTGTCTGTTCAACACGAAGAACAGCAGGTTTATGAATTATTATTTCTACTTCTTATATTGCTTCTACTTAATAATGCCAATGCACTAATAATCTTATTACTACTCGTAATCATAACGACTTATAATAATAATAATTATTGTTTGAAAATTACAATCTCAGTAAAATATTTGCAATTTAGGTTTATAAATCGTTTGAATGTCTGACGACAAAATTAGAATGAATAAAACCAAGAAGTAAAATAAAAAGAGCCTTCTGATAAACTCTTTGAAGTATATATTCCAGAAAAGTGTAACATAAAAATGCCGAAATCGGTCTTAAAACCAAACTACATGAAAATAAACTGACATTTACACGTTTCGACTTTCTCACAGCGTCTCTGTCCATGGTGCTGATGACCGGTTTTTTTACTTTATATTTTCTAAAGTATGAAAGCACTGGAAATTATATAACAACATTAGGCTCGAATTAACCTCAGTGACCAACCTCTAGAGGGGAGTCTGGTTCATCCAGGATGTTCTTTTCACTCAGGATCCGCTGCATCGTCCCTGCCGAAGTGGGATCCATTATCAACATGTTCTCACTGCCAGGTTGGCCGTATTTAAAGTCACTTCTTCTGGAATCAGTTGTTCTGCACACCTCATAGTTGAAGACATGAGGGAGAGTCCCTGTCCCCATTGTATCCGAATAACGTGGTGGATAATATGGAATCACTGGCAGACCGGAGTGATAGAGGATTCGAGACTGTCTCCATCTGTAGATCTTCACTGAGATAATAACAACTAAACACGTGATGAAGAGGAAGGAAACTACAGCCAGAGCCAACACTAAGTAAAAAGTCAGGTTGTCATTGTACTCCTTGTCGTGTTTAAAGTCAGTGAACTCAGACAGTACTTCAGAGAAACTGTCAGCCACCGCCACGTTAACAATGACTGTAGCTGAACGAGAGGGCTGTCCGTTGTCCTCCACTATAACAGTCAGTTTTTGATTGACAGGATCTTTATCAGTCACTTGGCGGATAGTTCTGATTTCTCCATTCTGTAAGCCAACTTCAAACAGAGCCCTGTCTGGGACTTTCTGGAGTTTATAGGAGAGCCAGGCATTCTGTCCAGAGTCCACATCAACAGCCACCACTTTAGAGACCAGATAGCCCACATCTGCTGAACGAGGCACCATTTCACCCACCACAGAGCCACCAGTCTGGACTGGGTACAGAACCTGAGGAGGGTTATCGTTCTGGTCCTGGATCAGTATCTTCACGGTCACATTACTACTGAGTGGAGGAGAGCCTCCATCCTGAGCTTTGAC